AGTTAGCCAATACATCTGGGTCCAGGGAAGGCTTCTTAAGGAGGGGCCTCACCACCGCCTCCTTTAGGGCTACGGGGAAGGCACCCTCCCGTAAAGAAGCGTTTATAATTCCCTGGAGCCAGGCTCGTGTACCCTCCCGAGCCGCCAGTACCAGCCAGGAGGGGCACGGATCCAGTAAACATGTGGTTGCATTCAGCCTACCCAGGATCCTGTCATAGCAAAAGAAGCAATAGAATGGGGTGAGAGGCAACATCATCCCAAGGAGCTTGAATGCTTGTTTGTCCTCTGTCTTGGCATAGAAAGTGAGGAATAGGGAAGCCAGCCCTTAGAGAAGAAAAGATTAGGGTTACACACACAATCAAGACTTCAAGGTAGCAGCTGCAGCCATAGAAATTAAAAAATCGGAAACCAAGAACCTTAGTTCTTGATGACTTGAAACTCTTTTAGGTAAAGTTTGTAGTAAAATGCAGATAAATAGGCATTGGAGGCAGAACCCCATTTATTTATTTGGTTAGTTGGTTAGTTGGTTAGTTGGTTAGTTGGTTAGTTGGTTAGTTGGTTAGTTGGTTAGTTGGTTAGTTGGTTAGTTGGTTGGTTGGTTGGTTAGTTGGTTGGTTTGTTAGCTTGTTAGCTAGTTAATTTCATCATGTTTATATAGATATCCAACACAGAAAATGTGACTCTGAATGGCATGTAATAAAAATCACTGCTGCTAAATCCAAATAAGAGATCCTTGCAACAGGGAAGAGTTACTTCTTTTCTACAGTTTCTCCCTGCAGTTCAGTGGCACATTCCTGCATTGAGGGAATTGGGCGACAGCTTTGTGGTGGGAAAGCTCTAGTAATTGCACAAAAGACTTGGGGGTCATCTATCTATCTATCTATCTATCTATCTATCTATCTATCTATCTATCTATCTATCTATCTATCTATCTATCTGCCCAATTCATAGACAATAATTATATGATCAGAAAGCAAGATATTATACTATATTATAAGATGTGAAAGTTTCATTTAATGATGCACATAATATAAACTCAATTTTTGTGCGCTGATTGCACATTAAAATAAGCTCATTTCATGAATAAGCATTAATTAAACGTAGCTTCATTACTTTCTTGTGTAAGCAAATCTGCAGCAATCATCTTATTCACATATGAAATTATGTTCAAAACAAAATCAGGCTCATAAATCTGCTCGTTTGTATTTGTTTTAGGTAGCAGTTCATTCTTTTTTAAAAGTGCCATTTTGATCTTTCTTTAATTAAGTTATCAAAGTTCATTCATTGTTTGTGAAAATATAATCCTTTTTTCAATATTAGCTCTGCAGCTTCAGCTAACTGAGCAGTCACTGGCATCTAGCTTTTTATTCCTCATCTATTAAAGGCTTTTTCATAATTNTTTGTATTTGTTTTAGGTAGCAGTTCATTCTTTTTTAAAAGTGCCATTTTGATCTTTCTTTAATTAAGTTATCAAAGTTCATTCATTGTTTGTGAAAATATAATCCTTTTTTCAATATTAGCTCTGCAGCTTCAGCTAACTGAGCAGTCACTGGCATCTAGCTTTTTATTCCTCATCTATTAAAGGCTTTTTCATAATTTAAGCACTTCAGAGGGAAATAATGCAACTCATACTATTATCTAAACCAGGCATATCCAACCCATAGCCCCCCGGCCATACGGCGCTCTGGACAGCTAGTAATGTGGCCCCATAAGTTATAATAAAAATATTTTTAAAAAGAAGTGCGTTATTTATATACATTAACTATATTATATATTTTATATGTGGCCAAAGACAGTTCCTTTTGACTCAGTGCGGCCCAGGCAAACCAAAAGGTTGGACAGGCACACTCCAAACTAACAAGTAAGCAGAGCCTTCTTGCTTAAATTTCCCTAACCTCTGCAAGAACCTCTACAGCACAAGATATATCTGGATAAAGAGGAATGGGGCAGTGATTCTAGTCTTGTTCCCCATCAATTTTCTCCACAAGTCCCATCTCTCAGACATCTGTACATTGAACCAAGAATCTTGTTTACTTAATGCAAGAAGTTGTCTCTTTGCAGACATCACCACTGCAACACTTTATATCTAGGGGTTAGCGGCTGTTGTGGGCCCAGAGTCGAGGATGGGATTCACTGATACTGGCAGATGATCTATGAACTGGGAATAGATTAAGCAGCTCCTAGTTCTGCATGCCATTCACCAAGTTCTTCTGTAATTGAATAGAGCCTGACTTCTTCTGTTGAATGGAGGCATAGACTTTTAGATTGGTTTCCATTTCTTATCGTTCCTTGTTCTATTTGATACAGCTTAATTGCAGTGCTTTCTGAACATGACTTGCTGGTTATTCACCTTAGCCTCTAGTTCATAGTTTGAGATCTGGACCAGAGGAAAACCTAATTGTCTAAAAAGTCATGTCCCTCACTTGAAATGCATTTTTTTCTTCGCTTCCCAAATATCTTACTAAAGAACAAAAAAACAACTCCTCTTCCTCCCTCTCTTTTTTGTGCTTAATTATGTTTACATTGAGAATATTTTCATAAATAGTGTGGGAAGAAGGCTTTGTTTCTCTTTTCCCATTTTTTTTTTTACTACATTCTACTTTCCACAATAGAGTAGTGATAAGAGGTAAATGGAAGGGAAGCAACCTAGAGGTAGATGAAGAAGTTATGTTAGTATAGGTTAAAATAATATTATTGAAGACAGACAACTATGTTGGTGTATTATACGTGGAACAGGGTATAGTAGAAATGCATTTAATTTGGATTTTTAAAACTATTATTTATTTCATATACATTTTTGCACGTTAAAACTTTATTACAAATGACTAAAACCATACAATGTACATTATGTTAAAAAATAACATTAAAAGCCATTAGCAAAAAAAAGCCATTTACCCAACCATTAACAGCCTAGCAAAATATATGTGGTTTATCAATTTCTTGAATAGACTCAAACACAGCTCTAAGGGAAATGAGTTTCATCATCAGAGAGCAACAGAGG